ACAAGTCTGAGGCCCAGCAAGGAATTGTTCAAAGATACAGGGTCAAGCCCAGAATGCCTGTGTCAGCCAGTCCTTCTCGAAACCAGGTCTCCTCTGCCCTTTTCAGGGACAGGATTGTCATCCTCCAGGGATGTAGCACTTCATCCCCAGCAGATATCACATCCCGAACGTGAGCACATGTCTCCAGCTCATTGACACAAGGTTTAAAAGTGGCACCGTGACACCAGTGCTCCAGTTTAGGACCTGGTGGCAGGCTCAATTGAGCCTCAGCCCACATGCCACCCTCTATCTGTACTCAGCTGTCTCTGGACTGTGAGCTGCTCTGAGAAACCAGCCTGTGTCTGATTGACCCCTGTGTCCCGCGACAGTCTGGCTCAATGCAGCCCCTATTCTAGGCCTAGCCTAGAGAAAGTTTGCCAAGTGCATAGAACAGGTGTGCACTCTCATGCACGTACAAGTGACCAAATCGACTGCACCCACCTTCCAGCTGAGAGACCCCAAGAGAGAGGAGTCAGCTCCAGAGGGTTCAGGAGAACCTGCTTTTCACAGTGGCATGATCTGTGTTGGCAAAACTCAGGCTAGGCCTGGGGGTGGTGAGAGCCCACTCTGGAAGAAGGGAGGGCCAGGCTGTGAATAGGGCTCTGTGTGGCCCAGCTGAGAGGGCTGGGGGAGGCTGGAATGTGAAGAACGTGCTCTCATGACTGTGGCCCTAGGCCTGGGTCTATGGAACAAGGTTGGCCAGCGGTGGGGGTGGGGGTGTTGGAGGTGGTTAGGGAGGAAAGGGAGAGGTGGAGCAGAGAAACCAGGCGAGGCAAGGACAAAAAGTCTCTCCAGACGTCCCCTCATATAGCAGTACAAGGGCTGATCCTAGAGCCTGCAGGCTGAGCAAAGAGTGTGCCGGGGAGAGTGAGCTCCATCCCAGCCACTTGTGGCTGAGGATGGCCCGGTTCTGGACAAAGCTTGTCCATAGCCTTTGCAACTTGTCTCCAAACTACCCCTTTCAGACCTCCCTACTTCTCACCCGGCAGCCATCTTTCTGCTTTTATCATCCTTTGGGCTCTGGCTTTCTCCTTTGCGCTCTTTCAACGTGTTTCCCCTGTCTCTGAAAAAACTCCTCATCTGTCTTTTTTTGCCTGGCTACTATACCTCCCACTAGACTGAGAGCTCCTCCAGGGCAGGAGACACATCTGCTTTTGTGCATGTTTGCATCTGCAGGTCTACCCCAGTGCCTAGTGGACTGCTTGGAGCAGATGCTCCACAGACCTTTTTGAATCCAACAGGTCTAAGGGGAAATTGATTACAACAGGAAGACTTCCTTCCCATACACCCCCAAATCGCTTTTTCCTCTGTTCCTGACCTCAGTTAATAGTACCACCTTCTACCCAGTTGCCAGGCCAGAAACACTGGGGTCATCCTTGACTCCTCTCTTATCCTCCCACATCTATCATTTACTTTGGGTCTACCATGTAAATCATCCATATATTGGTCCCCTTCTTCCTACAAAGACCGCTGCCCAATGGAGTTTCCCTCTTATTGCCCAGGCTGGAGTGCCATGGAGTGATCTTGGCTCACCACCACCTCTGCCTCCCGGGGTCAAGCGATTCTGCTGCCTCGGCCTCCCGGGTAGCTGGGATTACAGGCATGTGTCACCACGCCTGGCTATTTTTTTTGTATTTTTAGTAGAGACCGGGTTTCTCTATGTTGGTCAGGCTGGTCTTCCACTCCCAACCTCAGGTGATCTGCCTGCCTTGGCCTCTCAAAGTGCTGGGATTACAGCCATGAGCCACTGCGTCCTGCCTCTGGTCCCCTTTTCTCTAGTTTTGCCTAAGGCCCCCATTCCCAATCCATCCTTCACTCAACAGTTAGAGTTACATTCTGAAACATAAATCTGACTACGTTACTCCTGTGTTTAGGCCCCTTCAATGGCTCCCCATGGGGCTCTAGATAAAGTCCCAAGTTCTTAAGATGGCCTACAAGGCCCTTCATGATCTGGCTACTACCTGCTGCTTCAGATTCATTTCTCACTCTCTGTCTGGCACTCTGCTCTCCATCTAAACTGAGGTCCTAAATGTTACAGTTCTGGGCAATTAGGAGATAAACTGATGGGTGGGACAAACAGCAGGCTTTGACACCTCCTCACCCTTTTCTATGCTCTCCCTTCTGCCTGCCAGGCTCTTTCCTCCTGTCTTCTTGATGAACAACTGCTTAGCTTTCAAGACCTGTTCTAAAAGCTACTTCCTTCATGAGGGTCCTTGTGACAATGTACCCTCACTCCCAGCAACGAATTACTCCCTCTGCTCAGTTCCACGAGGCTTTATACTTTCCAATAGCACTCATATTGAATTCTGATGATTTATGCATGTGATTAACTCTCCCTCTGAGCTGTGAATTCCTCAAGGGCAGAGGATATGTCTGATCTATATGAATTCCTGAGTACCTAGCACAGGGCCTAGCCCTGAGGAGGTACCTAGTAAATGAATGAATGAATAAATAAATGAATATATGAACAAATGACCCACTGGATGAAAAGATTGTCACCACTAATCCTGGTCTTCCTCCAGAGTGGCTGTCTTTATAACAGCTGGATTCTTCGCCTCTGGGTTCAGAACCTCCAAGTCAGAGGGATATGTCCTACAACAAGGAAACAAAAAGGGCCTTTACTTTGTAGCAGAACTCTTCAATGCAAAAGTCCATATGCCATCTTCCCTTATAAGTCTTTCAGCTAACAACATAGCATCAAGATTAAGGTTAAAAGCAGAGTGGGACTCATGGTCCTGATCCAATCCAGGTTATTCTGGACGCCAGGGAGAAAAAAATAGAATGCCATAAAATTGGGAGCCAATTGGCCTCATGCATAGACTTGGTTCTGACATTTACCTTGACCTTTAGCAAATCATTTTACTTCTGGGCCCCATTTGCCTTATGTGTCACTGAAGATCATAAAATCTACCATGCAGGATGGTTGTAATGGCCAAAGAAGGTCGCTCATTTGCAACCTATAAATCCCTAAATTTAAGGCCTAGTTATCTCCTGAACTATCTGTAATTTTGTTAAAACTATGATGGGTTGCGCTGGGGTGGGGGGGTAGGAGATTTAATATGACTAGAACATAGAGTACAATCTGTCCCAACCATCAATTCATCTCTTAATTTTCCAGAACTGTCATATTTAAGACCTCACAGGGGCCTGCTTTGTCCTTCTCTTCAATTCTCTCACCCTTTCTCATCCTTTCTTCCCCTTTCGTCCACCACTGAGAATTATATTGACTTGCTTCATCATAGTTCCACTTTGTAGCTTTGTAGCAAACTTTCGTATCTGTCGCTCTCTATCGGTCTTGCTTCCGTGGTCATGCCGATCTCATTCTAGAACTTTTTATCTCCTTCACACTAACATCCCTCTAGGGCCCTGCCAGTGAACACTCAGGAGGACCTCCCCCATCCCTCCTCTCTCCTGTGGCCAGTTGTGGCCTACAAGGGCATATCTGACCTTTAGTCACTTTAGGGTGATCTAAGGCTGAACCAAATCTCTTAAGATTAGGAATCATTGTGGTCAAGTGTCTGTACCTGGTGTGGCAGTCACTGTGCAGAGTATAAGAGATAGACACATATTATGGCAACTATTTTTCTGATAACCTCTTGGTTAATTTAGAGGCTGGCTGCGTAAAAGCAGAATAGGCAAGAAAACCCTTCTACCTCTAAGAAGTACCCTTCTTTCCTTCCTTCTTTCTTTTCTCTCCTCCTTAGCTATTGAATGAATGTCTCTACTACTGCCATTTTAGCCCAAGCCACTGACACTGCTTTCCTGAACTGCTGCAAAAGCCTCCTAATAGATCTCCCCACTTCCACCCCGGCTCTACAATCCACTTTCTACCCAGGAGCCAGAGTGACCTTTTGAAGGTAGAAACCAGATCTTGTCATTCTCCAGCTCTACATCTGCCAATGGCTACCTACTGTAATTTGAATTAAAGCCCAAATCCTCACCCTGGCCTTCAAAGCCTCTCATAATTTGGCCTTCCCGTCTCTCTTCACCCTCTGTCTGAAATGCTCTTCAGTCAGCTCTTCACACCGCTGACAACTTCTTGTCATCTGTGTCTCTGCTCAAAGTTCAGCTCCTTAGAGAGACCCCTCCGGCCACCTCCCTATTCCCCCTACTCGATCACTCTCTACCTTCATCCTGTCTTTAAAAATTTCTCCTTCTTGATTCTTAGTGATGCCTGAAATTTCCTTATTTCTTTGTTTACTGATTTACCGTTTGTCCCTTCCCACTAGGAGTTCAGCTGCATGAGAATCTCATCTGTCTAGGCCACTGCTATATCCTTAGCATCTAGCATACTGCTCTGCAGGGCATTGATAGTGTATAAATATCTGTTGGATGTATGAATTTACAGACTGCTTAATCATTTTAAAAAGTGCCTTCATGTACGTTAATTTGTCACAAAGCCTGTGAAGCCAGGGTTGGTGCTCTCCTAGTCTTATAAATGCAGACGCTGAGGCTCAAGAGGTTATGAGTGATGTTCAGTGCCATGTAATCAGTAAGCAGGGGAAAGTGGCCCTGAACTCGGGCTCTCCAATTCTAAATATTGCTCTTGCCACCAACACACCCTGCTTCTAGCCTTGTTGATGCTATATATCAAAGATGGTATGTGCCAAGCAAATGTTGACATATTCTTTGATAATCTCTCTTATCAGGCCTTGAAACAGTACTGTGAGCTGTGGCAGACTGTCTCCAACTCCCTGACTTGGGGGCACTCTCAATTCAGGGAGAGTGAAGTGAGCCAGCAGGATCAGCCATGGCGTAGCAGAAAGTACAGTTTTATGGAGTGGGCTGCCAGGAGTCTGGGTCTGGGCTCCACTTTGGTCCTTACTTTATTTTCCTTTTCTTTGCAGCTCCATGTGTCTTTCTGTAAATTGGGTAGATGAAATTTGCTAACTTTAAGATCGCTTTCAGTTCGGATATTGCATCTCTGCACTGCCTTGACTTCTTCTTTGTTTCTTTCACAGTGCTTCCCATTGCTGCAAGTGAAGAAGAATGCTGGTAAGTACACGAGGTGGGCATTGCAAGTGGCATACAAAGAGACTGAGCTTCTCAGTGGTTCTCATGTGACAGCTGATCAGGTCTCTGGGCAGCAGAGCCAAAGGCTGAGATGCAAAAGGCAGAGACATCCTCTCTGTCTCCCTCCACTGGACATCTACTGTCTTACTTGGGCCCAGCTTTTTGGCTTACGTGCAGAGCCTCTTTATTTCTCAGCTGGAAGTTTTGCTCTTGCCGGAGAGCCAGAGGAGGACTTCCCTCCAGAGCTTTCAGCAAGTGGCAGCCACCCATATACAACTCTTGTTCTCAAATGCCCTCTTTCCACTGGGAAGTGTATTTAGGGGTGGGAGATACATCAGGAGGGAAAACAGGTAAGTGGAGGATAAAGGAAGGAGACTTGGCATTTGGGGTTCACTGTCTATCATATTCCCAGCACTTGCTTTATCTAGAAGGTTTCCAAGAGGAGGTAGGCTTCAGAGTTCATTAGACTGAGGGGAAATGTGTAGCCTTTCCCTTTTGCTCTCTCACAAGTTTCTTTGAGCCCAGCTTTCTATGTATTTGCTGACTCTGGTGTCCTACTTGGGTGTGGATAAGTGGATGGCATTCTGGGAGCAACTACCTTCCACTGAGGACACAGTTGTCTAGAGAGGGATAACAGCTTTGTGGAGGAAGAGAAAGAAGGCTACTGGTCAGGGAAGAGTTTGGTGCCAGTGCCTGAACTCCTGGTATCAGCTGGGCTTTGCTGAGGTCATCAAGGCCATCCTCCTGGCTCCAGCCCAACTTCTACCATTCTCATTGGCTCCAATTTTTCATCAGGATGAGCTCATGACTTGAATGAACATAGCCCCTAGGTGACAGTTAGGGATGGGGTTGCCAAAACGGAAAGGCATCAATTAACAAGCGGCATGCTAAGGGCCTGTGAGAGGCATCCTGGAAAGACATTGGAAGAGAAAACCAGAACCCTTACTAATAAGGACCTTCCAAAGTAGTTGGAGCTGGTTTGGGCAAATCATACCAGGATGCAGAGAGGGGATTCTAGTGACTTCCCAAGGACTTTTCCATCTTACGACTCTGAGTTTCTGGGTGGTGGCTGCTACAAAGCAAAAACTGACGGGCTAAGGGGTTTATTTGCATTGCCATGACAGCAGATAAGCGAAGATTTATTTTGAAGCAGGAACACTGCTTTGATCAGCATGCAGCATACATCTGCTTCTCTACTTCCCCACCCTGCCTTTCCCCTCTCATCATCATTCCACGGCTTCTTGCTGGGCAGTTTCTGCTTTGCAACAGAAACTTCTGGGGGCACAAGGTCTGTGCACTGCCCATGCTAAGGGAAGGACACACTTCTCCATTTCAGAGACACCAGCTGCAAAGGCTAAAAAGAAACCCCTCAGGCCCTGAAATAGTGACTCCCGCCCCAGACGAATGCACTCACAGCTGCCAAGTTACCTCTTTAGAATATCTGTGCCAGGCAGAGCTGCCAGCATTGAGGTCTGGGAGGGTGGGCACCAAGTGGCTGAGTGGTCTGTGGCTTCCAGAGGATACAGGAGTATCCTTTGGGGGGTGGGGTCAGGCAGAGGAGGTTGCCACCTACAAAGCTGAGATGGGACTGGTCTTTCTGCTATTTCTTAGGTTAAAGTTTGAAAATGTCTATTTAAAGGCAAATGGGAACACATTGTCTCAGGCAGATTCAAAAACAATCTGGCATAAATTATGAGTTTATGTGGATGTGGAAATGGTAGCAGCAAGGCACTGGAAATCAAGGCGCATGGATTTTAGCCCAAATTTCATCATAGATTCACTGTGTCAGCCCAGGCAAGCAGCTTCCTCTGTCTGGACTGGTGTCCACATCTGCAAAATGAAACTTATTGCATGGGACTCTTATATGGATTACAATACATGCAGTACAAATGTCAAAGTGCTGAACAAATGTGATTGATTGTTTCTGAAATTTAGGTCAGGGAGTGAGCAGAACTTTTCATCTGTTTTGTTATGCATGATTTGAGAAATAGGTAATACCTTCACAGGTTTCAAAATTCAAGAAGTACAAAAATCCAAAGTCTCTTCTCACCCCAAGTCCCCAACCACTCAGCAGTCCTCTTAGAGGTGATCAATGTTAGCAACTTCTTGGCCCTCAGTGAATTTATAAGGTCTGAAGCAAGTGAGCTGTGCTAGATGGGACTGCGGTAGGGGCTGGCACTGCCTAACTGACCTGGGGGTGGGGCTGAGGGGAGCTGCAGACAGGGCCGTGAAGCAGGAATCTCGAGACAGGAAATACAGGGTGGTAGAATCGACATTCTTTTGGGACCCGGTCTTGACTGTGCCACTCATGGTGGAATGATACCAAGTAAGAGCCTTCCAGTCTCTGAACCTCAGTGATCTCATCTGTACATTGAACCTGTCGCATTCTCCTATGCCATTTCTCCCAAGAGCCACCAGAGCAGAACAGAAGAGGTAGAGAAGAGGACCAGCAGGGGACATTTTAGTGACAAAAATGTCAAGATACTGACAAGGCTGACAGTTG